CGTTGAATGAGGATGAGAAGTCAGCCTTCAGAGGGCTGATTGGTTCACTTGGATGGATTGCCCGTCAGACCAGACCTGACGTGCTTGTGAACGTTTCCCTGGCATCCCAAACAATGGGAAATCCGACGATCAAGGATGTCGTGGAGCTTAACAAGATTGTCAAGGTTCTAAAGGAGAGCTATGACTTCAAGTGGAACTTTGTCCCAAGCTCCAACCTCACTCTGGAGAATGCCGTGGTGTTTTGCATGGCTGACAGCAGTTTCGCAAACACGACCAAGCTGCGAAGCCAATGTGGCTATGTGGTTGGTCTGACCACTGCTGATTTCACCTCCGGCTATGACACGCCGGTGATGATACTGGAGGCTTACAGCGGAAGCATCAAGCGTGTTTGTCGCAGCACTTTGGCTGCAGAAACAAACGGGTTCCTCACCGCGACCGAGGCCGCCGACTATGTGAGGATGCTCTTGCTGGAAGTGAAGCATCCAGGCGTTTCCATGGTTGACTTGGATAGGTTTTACCTGAAGGGCCTGCTGATCGCGTTGACGGACGCGAAGTCTTTGGAAGCCACCTTGAACAAGGACGCTGGCCAGCCTGCTGATAAGCGAGTGAAAATACTTGTCAGCCAGGTGAAAGAGTTTCTTGGCGGCGACAGCTATGAAGATGATGGTTCAGTACGCTGCCATTGGTGTGACACATCGCAGATGCTAGCCGACGTTTTGACGAAAGCTGGATGTGAAAGAGGACCTCTTTTGGATGCGATGACCACTGGAAAATGGCGCCTGAAACCAAGCGCCGAAGCCGAAGAAACCAAACAGAAGATCCGAGATGGAAGAAGACGCAGAAAAGCTGAGAAGCAATACTCTGCTGCAGGTGAGGACGGGTGTGAAACTGCATGTGAAACAGCAGTGACATAGCATTCCACCTTTGCAGCATTCAGTCTTGCAGACATTCCATGCGCATCCCAGAGCACTCTTTTGCCCAAAGAAAAAGGTGCCTCACTTCCCGCACGCCGCTGCCGGGATTTTGATTAAATGTACTTAAAAGGATGTTTTGTTTAGTAAATAGATAGAAATGTACCAAAAAGGACAGATTTACAAGATATGGGATAATTCTTACTCCAAATGTTATGTAGGAAGTTCTACAAACACATTAAGGAAACGAATGCATCATCATAAAAACAGTTATAATGCATACCTGAACGGAAAATCAGCCTTTGTATCAGTGTATGCATTGTTTGATGAATATGGGTTTGAAAACTGCAAGATTGAGTGGGTTGAAGACTACCCCTGCAATAGCAAAAAATAACTTGAAGCTAGAGAAGGGTTTTACATCAAAAATACAGTCTGTGTAAATAAAGTCATCGTTGGAAGAACAAAGGAGGAATATAGAAGTGATACAAAAGAAGAAAAAAAGGAAACAGATAAAAAGTATTATGAAGAACACAAAGATGACATTTGTTCCAGAATAAGAAATAGTAGAGCAGAAAACCTTGAAGAAATGAAAGAGAGAGAACGAACATACTATTACAAAAACAAAGAAAAGAAAAATAGATTGTATGAATGCGAGTGTGGGACAAAATGTTATTTTAGATATAGGCGTCAGCACTTCAAAACAAAAAACACCAACAATACCTACAAAACCAAAACAGCCCTCAAGATTAATTCATACTAATATTTTCTTAATTAATACAAATTAAGAAAATATTAAGAAAAATATATCAATCTTTATATAATGTCAAGTGTAAAGGTAGTTGATTTAAATGAAGAAGTGAAAGAAGAAACACCAGCAATTGAAGAAGCACCTAAAGAAGAAACACCTGAAGAACAACCGGAAATTATAAATGAAGTGATTGAAGAAGGTAATGAAGAACCTAAAGAAGAACCCAAAAAAGAAGAACCAAAACAACCTAAAACTAAACCTAAAGCAAAGCCTAAAGCAAGTGACATAGTCAGTTGCCCTGATTGCTCGCGAACAATGACATACAAAAATCTAAGATACAGCCATAAATGCTCTCCAGAACCTCCACCAGTGAAAAAGCAAGCAAATCCAAAACCAAAAGCAAAACAACCAAAACCTAAAGCTGTTCCAAAACCACCTCCAGAAGTTTATTACAGTGATGATGATGACGATGAAGAAGAAGCACGGCAAAGCCCTGCTACCTATCCGGAAGAACGCGAAGCTTCGCGTAGCATACGCGAACCACAGCAACCATTAATCAAAAAGAAGCAACCAAAACAACCATCAAACCCGTTATTGGGCGGTTCCCTAGAACCTCGCGTGCTTCGCGACATTACAAATCAATATTCCTTACTTCATCAACAGCTAATGCAACAAAGACAAGACAAATATAATAAAGTATGCAATGGAATGTTCGCACCAAGAGTTAAGAAACGATGAATTATATTAATATTTTCTAAAATATTAATATAATGTCTTTACAACTTGATGGTGGAACAACATACATAGGAACTGAATTTATCAAACTATTAGCAACAGGTTCATCAAATCTAGCAACAGAGGCATATGTCAATTTAGCAGTTGCTAATGGTGGTGGTGGTGGTGGTGGTGGAGGAACAGGCACAACTGACTTAACCAATTATTATAACAAAACTGAGACAGATACATTACTGAATAATAAATATAATAAAACAGAGACAGATGCTTTATTGAATAATAAATACAACAAAGCAGAGACAGATACATTATTGGATACAAAACTGAATGTTGATAATCCTCAGGATATGGCAGGAACACTTCGCATAGGTCATGTATTAGGCACTTCTAAAATAATATTGAATGCAGTCAGTAGTGACAAGGACTTTTATGTAAATGGAGATAGTGAAGTAAATGGTAATCTTTTAGTGGCATCATTGGATAGTAGCGGTCATATCAAAGGTTCAAATATCCAATCAAACACATTCAACGCACTAAATTTGAATGATATACTGTTTCAAAGCAACAGCGATACTTACTTACAATATGATGTTTCAGCAACTAAATTAGTAACAAGTAAAATAATACAATGCGGTGGCAATCTAACAACCCAAGAAATAGACACCATAGCACCATTAGATTTAGTAATAAAAAGAAATGGTGTTGATTTCATAACATTAGCGGATGGTGTAATACAGTTCAGTCAGCCTACAAATTTAGCCATAACTCCTGACCTTTTCAACTGCGTAAAATTAACTGGTGAAGCATCTCAAACAATAGCTGGTGATGTTATTGTAAGCGGGGGTGTCAATACCAATACACTAAACAGCAATGGCAACAGTGATGTAGTTTTACAAAGAAATGGGATTGAATATATGAAATTAGAAGGGACACTACAAGCTGTAGAACTAACAAAGGGCGCTAAAGCAAACACTTATGATAGTATAGGTAATGTCGATGTTAATTTTAGAAGAAACGCTATTGATTTCTTTTATCTAAGAAATAACACATTGGATTTAAACACTGGTATATCATTATCAACAGATGGCGCGACTGTAAATGAGATATCATCAAAAACAGCAACCAATCTAGTAATCCAAAGGGCAGGCATTGATTATATAACACTGGCCGACGGACAAATTCAATTTAATCAACCTACTAATTTAGCAACAGGTGGTGATACATCAAACTGTGTCAAATATACTGGTGAGACATTACAGACAGTAGAAGGCAATTTAGTTATAGTTGGAGGGCCTCAATTTGGAAGTTTTGATTTAACTGTTAATGGAACTACTTATTTTCTTTCAGGTATAGAATTTCCATTAGGAGGTTCAATTACTTTAGGAACTGGTAAAGGTTATATTCGTTCTCTTAATATAGGAGGTGGCAATACTGCTTATGATTATTGTATTTTTGCTTCTGGTGGAGTTCATCGTTTTTATATTGGTGGCAGTCCTTTTCCACAACACTTAAAATTTCAGTTGTCATTAACGCAAGCATATTTTAATGTTGATGTCGTATGTCATACTGAATTACAAACTGATATCATTAATACAAAAAATGCTAGTGATGTTGATTTGGTCTTCAAAAGAAATGACATTGAATTTTTTAGACTTCAAGGTCCTAATGTTGTAACCAATGGTCCAGAAATTTTATTGTTAGTGAATGATGGTAATGTTGGTATTTCTTCAAGTTGGATGTTTGCTAATACCTTTGCTAATAGGTCTGCTGATAGTGATACTGACTTTAGGGGGTGTATATCCGGTGGTTTAAATAGTGGAACTGTTTATATGACCTACGAACACATACCAGAAAGATTACATATTAAAACTGATGCTGAAGTAAGCGAAGGTAAAAAGTTATATTTAAATACAAATACTTCAAAAGAATGCTATATCCACAGTTTCATAGAAAGCAATGTTAAAATACTATCATTAGAAAATAATGAGATTTCAGGTCAAAATCGTATATACTGTGGCGGTAATTTAGTAATTGATATGTCGGGTAGTGTTTTGAATTTAAGAAGAAATACAACAGTTGTAGCCGGTGTCACATTAACAGGCGACCTTATCAATACCTCATGTTGAGGTTCAGGAGGAGCGTGCCTGAATACTCAATGAGGAAAATGAAGAAGCCGGGAACCTGACAGGGCTGAGAGGTGAAGTGTGTCTGTTCTTTGGTGATTTTTGAGGCTCATGTTGAAATCAATGCCAAAAATCAAGCTTCAAGACTGCGTGTCAAAAAAACTCTTGTTTTCTCTTCCATTCCCCCCATCTCCCAAGTTTGCTGTGCTACATCGTCCCACTGAATGACGGTTCAGCACAGGCCATTGCCATGATACTCCATGAAATGTGCCACCAGTGTTGCTATTTCTTTTGTCAGAAATGGGTTTCTCTTCATATTTTACCTTCTAGAAATGGGATTTCTAATTCTAGAAATGGGATTTCTAGTTCTAGAAATGGGATTTCTAATTCTGGAAATGGGATTTCTAATTCTAGAAATGGGATTTCTAATTCTAGAAATGGGATTTCTGTAAATGATGGCGCATTTCAACCAAGAGTACTTCACTACATTGCAACGTCACCAGAACTCAGGGCTCCCATCTTAGTAGCCCTTTTCAGCTCAACAATCTTCTTGAACTGTGTGAGGGTGAAGGTCTCACCCTTTTCTTCCTTCTCCATCTTCAACTTCTTGTAGCCGTAGAGCACCATAGAGCCAATGTGCTGTCAAGCATGAGCTGCGACGCCTCCACTGTCTTCTCAAGCTCAATTGCCACATCACCAAACATGAAGACCGATGCCTTCTTCAACTTGAAGTCCGGGTTGCCATTCAATGCTTCAAGGCGACAAGTCACACCAGAAAGCTGAGCCACATTCAACTTCTCCATGAGATAGTCAAAGGCGTTGCCTGTGCCATTCTTCTCAAGGATGTCTGAGAAGGCTTTGACCTCCTTGTCAAGCTTCTTGATGTTCTCATCCTTCTCCTTCAAAGCCCCTGACTTGGCGTTTGCCTTTGCATAGGTATTGTCAAGAATGTTCTTGATGTCGGCAATCTTCTTCTGTTTCTCCTCCTTGTCCTTCTTGATTGTTTTGCCACCACCCTTCAAGACCAACTGCAAGTAGGCCTGATGGTCGGTGAGGTTGTCAAGGCGCATGTAGTGCTCCCACTTCTTGCCATCAAGGACACCAATGAGGATGAACTGGTCTGAGCCCATGTTGGTAATCTCCCCAATCTCTTGGCAGACATCTTCAACATGAGTATCGCTGAAGTCAAAGAACAACTTGATGCAGTGCTCCTTGTTCTTGGTGAAGATTTCAAGCATCTGCTTGTTGTCGCAGGACTTCATTAACTCACTGTCATCATTGAGCTCAGGGAACTTGTCCGTGTAAAGGAGGTTCTCATCAAACTCTTCCTCTTCACCAGCTTCTCCTGACCGGGAAGAAGCATTAGATGATGTATCACCCTCCTCCTCTTCCATGTCATCACGGTTCAGCAACACCACATTTTCTGTAGTCAGGATGTCATCGTCTGCCAAGTAGCAACCCTCAGCAGTGCTGACATGAAGCTGAGTGCCATAGTAGAAGACACGGAAAGCCGAGGTGATGGTTGGAGCTCCATACTTATTCATCAACAAGACAGTGCGCTTACCATCCTCCTTAATCTCCTCCCTCATGCCCTTGGTGGCGGTCTCAAGAGGAGCAAGTAGCTTATCCATCGCTTCTGAAATCTGGCAACGCTGGGAAAACAACATCTTGGCATTGGTTGTAGTCCTCAGGATGTAGTCCCAGTGCTCTTTGATGTAGGCAATCATCTCAGGCTTTTTCATATTCAAGCGCTCTTTCTCCAAACTCTTGTTTGCCATCACGCCATCACCACGCTCAATCAAACTAAGCAAACTTGCTTTGCTTAACTTTGGCAAATGTTCGTCCAGAGCATTGGCGTCAATCTGACAAGAGAGGTCATCCAAATCAACAATGTATCCAGTCTCCACCCAACAAGGGATGAGTGTATCACCACGCTTGGTATAGACCAGAGCCATGACAACACACAACAGAAAAGGTCAAAACCTATCTGCCTTGCTGAATGTTTGGGCTGGGGTGCTAATCACCACCGTTTGGGAGGAAAATATCACCATAAACAACTGTTGTAATCATGAAGTCAAGCTTTCAAGATTGCTCGGCAAATTCACATGCTCCACTGCTCTGGCTCTGTCAAAAACACCCTGCTCCATTCCCATCCGGAAAATCCAGCCTCATCATTGATGAGGATAAAGTGGAGGAAGAAAATGAAGTTGGCGAATAGAATGAAGTTGAGGTAGAGGAAATAATGACAGGAGAGGTTGGTGATGTGGGTGGTATGATACAACTATTATGTGAATATTTTATGATAAAAATATTATGATAAAATTTTATGATAAAAATTTCAATGATAAATTTATGATAAAAATATTATGGTATAATTTTACAATAATAAATATTTCTAGGAAAATTAGTTAAAGAAATATTGTTATTTATCTATAGACCCCCTCACCTATCTTCCATCATATGGTGCAATATTCCAACCAAATTTATGATAAAAAAATATGTGAATATTTTTGTTATGATGTTGAGCGCACCGTAGGGTGAGTTAGGCGAGGGTGGTTCTAACTTATACATATACATATACATATACATATACATATACATATACATACATACATACACACATACATACATACATACATACATACTATACACATACATACATACATACATACATACATACATACATACATACATACACACATACATACATACATACATACATACTTACATACATACATACATACATCATACATACATACTATACACCTATACACATACATACATACATACATACATACATACTATACACGTACATACATACATACTTACATACATACATACATACTTACATACATACATACATACATACATACAACATACATACATACATACATGCATGCATACATACATACATCCTTACTATACACATACATACTTTACACATACATACTATACACATACATACTATACACATACATACTATACACATACATACATACGTACGTACGTACGTACATGCACATACATACATACATACATACATACATACATACATACATACTATACACATCTATACATCTATATACATACATACATACATACATACATAGACATAGATACATAGATACATAGATACGTATATACATACATACATACGTACATACATACATACATTACATTGTATTACATTAATACATTACACACTACATGCTATACATACTATACATACTATACATACTATACATACTACATACTATACTATACTATACTATACTATACTATACTATACTATACTACATACATACATACATACATACAATACACATACATACATACATACTATACACATACATACATACATACATACTATACACATACATACATACATACATACGTACATACATACATACATACATACTATACACATACATACATACATACATACATACTATACACATACATACATACATACATACATACATACTTACATACATACATACATACATACTATACACATACATACATACATACATACATGCATGCATGCATGCATACATACGCACATACATACATACATACATACATACATACATACATACATACATACTATACACATACATACATACTATACACATACATACATACATACATACATACATACATTACTTAACATACTATACATACTATACATAATATACATACTATACATACTATACATACTATACATACTATACATAATATACATACTATATATACTATACATACTATACATACTATACATACTATACATACTATACATACTATACATACTATACATACATACATACAGACAAACAGACAGACAGACAGACAGACATACATACACACACACACATACAGACAGACAGACAGACAGACATAGACAGACATAGACAGACATAGACAGACAAAGACAGACATAGACAGACATAGACAGACATAGACAGACATAGACAGACATAGACAGACATAGACAGACAGACAGACAGACAGCCAGGCAGACAGACAGACAGACAGACAGACAGACACACACACACACAGACATACATACATACATACATACATGCATGCATGCATGCAACATACATACATACATACATGCATGCATGCATGCATGCATGCAACATACATACATACATGCATGCATGCATGCATGCATGCATGCAACATACATACATACATACATACATGCATGCATACATACATACTATATATACACACACACACAGACATACATACATACATACATACATGCATGCATGCATGCAACATACATACATACATACATGCATGCATGCATGCATGCATGCAACATACATACATACATGCATGCATGCATGCATGCATGCATGCAACATACATACATACATACATACATGCATGCATACATACATACTATATATATATACACATACACACATACTATATATATATATGTTTCTATATACACGTACATACATACATACATGCATGCATACATACATACATACATACACACACATACACACACACATACACACATACATACACACACACACATCCATGCATGCATGCATGCATACATACATAGATACATAGATACATAGATACATAGATAGTAAGATACATACATACATACATGATTATTTTCTTATACACCACATACATACAACTATATATATACATACATCATACATACTATATATATATACACATACATACATACTATATATATATTACATACATACATACACATACATACATACATACTATATATATACATACATACATACATACTATATATATATACACATACATACATACTATATATATATATACATACATACATACATACATACATACTATATATATACATACACACATAGTATATATATATATACACGTACATGCATACATACATACATGCATTCATTCATTCATTCATTCATTCATACATACATACATACATACATACATATATCCTAACATTCTATTTGATATTCTTTCTGGCATATACTCTGACATCTATCTGACATTCTATCTGACCTTTTATATTCTGACATTCTATACTCTTCGACATATATTCTTACATTCTGTCTGGGATTCTATCCGGCATTCTCTCTGACATATACTATGACTTTCTGTCTGGCATTCTTTCTGACATATATTCTGACATTCTGTCTGGCACGTGTTCGGGTCCAGGTGCGGCCCACAGCATCTGGAGCTGGCGGTGGGGTGCCCACTGCATCCGGAGCTGGCAGAGGAGGAGGTGAGGAGGAGAAGACGAAGGAGGAGGAAGGAGTTACATCTTTGTTAGAATCTAGAGGCCCTCACCTGGCAGGCGAAAACCATACAATTGGCAGGTTGCATTCACATTTGCGTTTGCGTGTTCTCGATTCACATGAAAAGAGCGGAAAGGACCGAAAGGGTTTTTACAACGGATTCCAGTATGAGCTAATATGAACGGGGCCGGCAGAGAACAGATAAGAGATAAGAGCTGCCTTGAGACAATTACATCATGTTGACCCACGATGAATCAACCACCAGTGTATTCATAGGGGGTTTGCGAATTTTAAGTGTAATCGATTTCACTATTTTAGGTTTGTTAGGGGGTATTACCCCCCACGTAGCAGTGTTTTCGTCTCCTCATGGGCTGACATTATCCGGTGTTGAGCATTCCTTGGCAGCCGAGAAAGTGTTGGGTGATATTGGGTGATATTTTCATATATTTTCAGTGGTGTTAAAATTTAAACCCGGCCTTCATGTATCCTTCACCTTCTAATTTCAGTCATGGGTGCAGATAATCACCCCCGAGTGTCAAAGTTGAGGATATTTGAGGGTGTTGCATATGAGGTGTCCGCACCACTACAGCTGCAGGGAGGACCGACAGGTTCACTTTGATTTTCTGTGGCCCTTGTCGCTGGTAGTTTTACGGACTTTCACAATTTGCATTTCTCCCAATCATTTGTGGATCCTGGCCGTTCACATGGACATGGGCTTTAACTGTAGGCGGTTGTTGTGTGCTACTCAAGTAACCAAGGTTCGAGCTGATGAGCTGCTAATGCTGATGAGCTGCCAATGTTGTTGGCATCGCAGGACCAAGTTCCTTCACGGCGATGATCGAGACAGTGCAATTCATGCTACTTTTGCCAATGCACAAAATGCACTCAATGTAGCAGTGCTAGGAGAACTTCTCGCTGCACGATTGGCTGTAACATCGTAGTGCATGGGTCCCCGACACTCATTTCATTGGTTGATGAGGTCCTAAAGGATTCATGTTGGACTCCTGACAGACCATGGTAGCAGCAAATTCTAGTGAGACGGAAATCTTGGCGCGGCTGGAAGTAACAGGCCTCAATGCCTTTAGCCTCCAAGGTGAAAGGGAGAACTGTGCGGTTGAAGCTTTCGCAAGTGGATTCTGCCAGCATGGACAGTTTCCACTTCTGTACTATCAATCCAGGTAGGCTGTCTTCCAGTTCACAACAGTTGAACATGCTCTCCAAAAGGTGCCAAAGCATTCTGAATCACTCAAACATTTTCGACCACCCCTTACTATCAACCAATTGCATATCATTGGTAGGCAGTCCGCCCAACTTGATTGGTTGAGGTTCAAACGACTGATGTTGGCTTCCTTCCAGAAAGTCATGACAGCATCAGAGCAAGACTTCCGTGCCACCAAATAAACGTTCATACAGCTGCTTCTCTTCACACAGGACTGGGTGGACAGAGATCAGGTTTTAGCTGAGTCTTGCTCTTATAGAATTGTAATTTGAGTAGGCCTAGACAGACCTGACAGGTCTTCAATCTGCACATTGTGAGAATTTTAGTGAGACGGAAATCTTGGCGTGGCTGGAAGTAACAGGCCTCAGTGCCTTTAGCCTCCAAGGTGAAAGCGAGAACTGTGCGGTTGAAGCTTTCGCAAGTGGATTCTGCCAAAACCACCTTCTCTGCTCTCTAC